AGAATGCTTATACACTGAACACCAAAAGAAGAGTGACACCAGAATGCTTACACACTGAACACCAAAAGAAGAGTGACACCAGAATGCTTATACACTGAACAATAGAAGGTGAAGTCACACCGGAAAGCTTATATACTGAACACTGAGAGTGGAGACATACCAGAATGCTTACACACTGAACACTGAAAGAGTCACACTTGAATGTTTATACAATGCAATGTTTACACATAGGTATACAGTGATATGGTATGCGTTGCAGACCCATCAGCGATAGGTGAAAATCCGCAATATAGAAAGACCATATAAACAAACATTTTTTATAGTTTAAGCCTTAAAATACCCCTTCCACACGCTTTAAACACATGTAAACTTATTAAAACACATATATGTGGATGTTGGGCTAAGAATATGAGTAACATAATAGTAATAATAATAATAATAATAATAATAATATGTAGTGTGTGTGTGTATAATATATATACATACACACACCTCTCTCTATGGAATATAAATATAAAAAAAAACATATATGGTTCTAATATTCTTTTCATCCTTATTGATGTAGCGTACCGTCTATTCATTAAAGCCATAATAGCGAGCGACGTCCGCGTAACGCTTTCCTTCCCAAAGCATATCCAGGAGTTTTACCTTCTCCTGAATGGCGCTGGTGCTTAGGCTCACTACTATCAGAAGGCTTATAACATGCAGGACGCTTGGGAGCCATCGTAGGGCTTAAAACAAAACGAAAACAATCGGATCACAAGCAAGGTACGCGATACACAGAGAACTGTGACATGTCGGGGAAAAGTCTGCGATATAGCAGGGGCGTGATAGCTGAACTGCGATATAGCGGGGGATCACTGTAGACACTAATATGCTAACTGAAAAGTGAGAAGCTAGTGTCAGAAACGGCCTTCACATGGGCAGGAGCCAGTGTCAGAAACGGCCTTCACATGGGCAGGAACCAGTGTCAGAAACGGCCTTCACATGGGCAGGAGCCAGTGTCAGAAATGGCCTTCACATGGGCAGGTAAGATAAAACTGAAGAGACACATAAAAACTCAAGCATTCAAACCAGAGAAGTACATCTAGGCTCTTCAGCACTGGCACGAGAGAAAGCTGCGAGGACTCTGTCTGAGCACAAAATAAGAACAAAGCAAGCAACCGGTCGGAGGGAGGATATTCAGGTACCTGATGTGACCGAACTGTGCTGCAGCATGAATGGGCAGCTGCCATGCATCCTCACTGCAGTAGAGATTCGGGTCAGCACCATGCTCCAGCAGAGCGGTCACACAGGACAGGTGGCCCTCCTGGGATGCTATCAGCAGGGGTGTGGCGAGATCATGGGATTGGCGGTTCGTGTCAGCGCCTGGAGGTGGGGTCACAGACAGGATCAGCACAGTGCCACACTCAGACACGATCAACCAACAGAAGCTGCTACTCCTCTTATCATCCCCAAAAACCGAAGCCATGTTTTGTCTGGGCTTCTATCCAGACGCTGGACTGTGGTTTGTTGCATGTAGCTGAAGCTGCTCCCATCTCACCCCCCTGGGTACCGAACGCCTCCATACCAGCCTCCGCCAACAGCTCCAAGCATCGGCGCTGGCCATACTGTGCAGCCACAAACAGGGGCGTAATCTCAAAGTCATCAGTGATGTCTAGCTGGGCCACACCCACCAGGAAGCTCACCACCTCAGCATGACCCTGACCACATGAAAGAGAAGAATGTCAGCAGTGGAATCATTTATATAACCAGTATGAGCCGTGTTATATATACACAGCAGAGCACGAAGCGAAGCACAAGCATCACATCACATGCAGCCTGTGTAATCGTCTATTCGTTATGGGTTCACATTCACCGTCAAACATGTAAGCCTCAACTGCCCAATGACCTGGCAACTAGGATACTGGCTTGAAGAGCTATCAGGTCACGTCCTGACACTGCTATTGTACCTTCCAGTTAATGCATCCTGTTGTGTAAAAAAAGAAAACTCACTCAAAGCATGAGCTAACAAGAGAATGAATTAAAATAATAATAATAAAACAACAACAGTGGTTTTGTTGCTGTTCTTGACAATACTAAAATGTTGTTGATAATGAAAACAACATGTTATCAAGAACAACAATTATAATTACTCATTATTGTTTTTGTTGTTAATAATCATAATGATGATGCTGTATGGTTGTTAAGTGTAGACCACGAGGCCTGCATCTATGGCTGACACCTTGAATGTTGCCTGGTGCAAGCAGCTCCAGCCGGATGTAGAGTGGCTGCTGTTGACCTCTGACCCTTCTTGCACCAACAGTTCCACCACCTTCCTGTGTCCACTATCGACAGCTGCAGAGTCCACACACAGGCAATTACGCAATAATCACCCAAACTGCTGAGACAAGTTGAAGCATAAAACAGGAAGTGTGGCAGATAAGTGGCCACATTCATGAAAAAAGCTGATGGGCTACTGCTGTATTAATCTGAAAATATCCAACAAACAGACCAATGGCATCATGTTAGCCTCTCAGCAAATGAACAGAGTTAAATATCAAAAGCAAGCTGATGTCACAGGGAATTTGTCAGCCATAACCTCTCATAAAGACAGGACAAGAGTCCTACCTGCAAAGAGCGGGCTTGCGCCATCATTGTTCACACGGTTGACATCAGCTCCAGCCTGAAGGAGACTTTGCACCAGGCTCAGGTGGCCCTGCTCAGCGGCGAGATAGAGGACCGTGGTGCCGTCATGTGTCAGGGTGTTCACATAGTCTCTGCTCTGGGACTTGGAGCGTGCTGGAGGTGGTTAACACAGGCTGACTGTAACAGGGATATCCAAGTGTGGCTCCAAGTTGACATGTGCATGCAGTGCAACAGCAAGCTCATTTGAATGTAAACAGAAATAGATAATGAAACTGTAAAGGCAGCAAATTATCCAGCACAGGTGATACGTGCGTTTTATGTTAGTGCTGCTCACCTGCCCTCAGTAATATCTGCGCACACCTGTGGGCGCCACCAAATGCTGCTTCATGCAAGGCGTTCCAGCCCCGGTTGTCCCTGACATCGATGCTGTAGCCTTTCTGTATCAGACGCCTCACCAGCCGGTGGTTCCGCTCACGTGCTGCCAGCGCCACAGCAGAGCACGTGTGCTGGTAACACTCAGTAAAATCCATCGGGGCTCTCCACCTTTACCTACAAAATGTCATCGGACAATACTACTGCTCAGCAGATGAAGAGAGCCATTTACCTAAACAACAATATGACTTTCTATATGCTGGCTTTGCATTTTCATTACTAAGGCTTGTTGAGGTGCTGCTGAATAGTGATCTAGATGTAGGGGAAAATAACGTTATAATTAAATGACTACAGTTTGATAAGGTGAATAGCGGGACATTTTTTTGTTTCATAGCTTATGCTTCTCTTTTAATCTTCACATTTCGTTACATTTAAAACATATGTCTTAAAATAATCATAAAAAAATCCAGCCATCTTCTAATTACTTATTTTAAAACGGGGATCTGTATTTTGAAATCACCTTTGGTAAAGGCTTCAGCATTAATTTAAAAGTATCATACATAATATGAAACTGCATAATAACACATTGAAGGAAAACCTTGCATGTACCCGACTGCACACACTTAACTCTGGACTGATTTTAATCGTTTAGCCTTTCTACAAGAATAAAATAATTAAATACGATATCATCCTTGCCATGCTGGTGATCGTCATTGTGCAACCTGAAATGATACCACAGTCTTTTCTAAAATCGTATAAAACAACGAAAATTTAAACTATAATTAAAAAAAAAAAAACACTGAACAAACGTAAAACCGTGTTTAACTAAAATAACCAGGTTAAAAGGTTACTTGCCGTCTTGCTACAGCGCTCGGACTCATATATATTCTTCCGGTATCGCGCCACTCTAAATAAGATTTGCTATGATTGGTTGGTGATTCTGTCAATCCCAATTAGGTTTTTTTGTGATTGGATAGAGGATCATGCGTCGTGAATATACCGTATACCATAAAGTATAGGATGCGACTTCAATCAAGTATATTCATAAATATTAAAACCCTGTAAAGCGCTTTGTATTTTATTGTAATGCATAAATATGTATATTTATTGCATTACAGGACATACAATTGATTTGGGAAGGGTTATTGATAGATAAGTATTATTTAAGCTAGTAAAATATTAATTTACTGGAGACATTCGCTAGAGGGCGCTGAATGACCATCACCAGAATTATGAATGTTTCAGTATTAGTGTTTTTTGTGAAGTCCCGGCAAGATTGGCAAAATTGCTCGCTGTAATGTTGAAACTAAAGTGCCTGGCTTTGCACTACAGTCCCAGAAGCAATTGGGGGTTGAGGGCCTTGCTAAAATGGCCAGTGCTGTTGCAACTTTGGAATTTAAACCAGTGAATATTCAGTCACCACTCACCAGCACGGCTGTGTCCTAACCATCATGTGGATCTAAGTAAGCAAAGCAAACCCCCCCAGAAATTCAGACCTGGGTGAACTCAAGGCTTTCTGTGGCTGCTAACAACGACCCTCTGATGTGAGCCCCAAAGGTGCCACCCTGCTCAGTTTTCTCTGCTTTTGCCGGTAAAGTTCTTTTAAACAAGTCGACATCTGCGAAACATCGGTCTGCAGGGGGGTTCCAGGTCCTGGGTGAAAAACAGCTGCTGCCTTTGCAGACAGACCTCTCTATTGGAAAATACTCCACCCCCACCAGTTAAAATCACAGTTATCCTGCTTCCATAGAGCAGCGATGTAGGTTGATCCCAGTGATGGCACTCCACTGTTATGCATTGGTGGAGGGGCTGATGCTGCACCCCATTTGGGGCATCATTCCAGCCAGCCTGTACCCCTTCAGTGTGCATGCTGTGTCCATGGGAGACCACGTATCACGGATACTCTGCGCCACACTGGAGCCCTGGGACAATAAAAACTGCTAAACAAGGCTTTTACTCATTGTCTTACCAACTGATCATATTGCAGTCCCATGCAGTCTCAGCCCCGAGCTCTTCGCTGTCTCTCTGCAGAGCCCAGCTAGGATGGATGAGCAGAAACATCTCTTTCGATTACGGGTGGTTGTGGGTATGGGGTTTTGGGATTTCCTCTCAGTCAGCCAATAACAGAGGGTCCCTAGGATTGGAGTTGAGAACCACTGGTTTATTATAAGCTGATTGAGAGGTCATCCAAAAAACCAGCACCCACAGCAGCTGTCCATGGAATCAGGTTCATCACTTTTGCCATAATTCAATTAAATTCAATCCAGTTCAATTCAATTCAATTGCATTTGTATAGCACATTATCACATTACAATGTCTCAAAGCGTTTTACATTATTCCTGCCTAAAGCTCCCAGCAAACAAGCCAGAGGCGGCATTTGTTTGGCATGTTGGGATTTTGCCAAGCCGTAAATTACGTAGTCTCTGAGTCACTGGGGTCTGTAGACTGAATCACTTGAACACAAAATATGCAATGTGTCCTTTATTGAATTTCTTTTGTGGTGTTCTTGTAACTGCAGTACATAAGATGCTCCAGAGGGGGGCAGTGGAAGCTTATATTCCCTGTGGTGGAAATTTCCATGTCTTGCCATTGATAAAAATGGTAACGATAATAAGAATGTGATCTTCCCAGTTGATATGGTGTCTTAAATTAAATTTGGAGGTGCGACCTTCTCTCTTGTTACAGATTCATCTCGATGCCCCCAAATTTTGTCTACTTTTATCTGGGTGTGGGCACAGTCCTGGCGGAGTTACATTAGCCCAACACAATTCATAAAAAATACAGGATGTTTATATTTCCCATACATCATGTACTGTTCAGACTAGCAAATTTTATAGTTAAATGCATGGAGCAATAGCTGTTAGCATAACTGAAAACAGTTTTTGATTCACTGTCATATGGATGCTTTTCCTCCGCACCAGGTACCATACTTTTGTTACGTCAAGGTTTTGGTTTTCCACTGGTGTAAAAACTGGCACTGGTCCTGAATGACATCACAGCATGAGGTGGGGTATTTTGTAAAAAATGGTTTGAAAATGGCTGTAGTATGTTTTAGGGCTGGATGATGCGCGATATTAATACCAACAGTGCATGTTATGCAGATGAGGTTCTTACATTCTTTGTCAGCTAGATTGAGATCAGGTTTTTTCATACCATCATACTATATGGACAAGTTATAAGTTTGCCTAAGACATTTTTACTCTCTCATAGGGAAAAATAACTTAGCAAGTTTTACAATTTTAATGATTATTCCTTTCGAAGATTACAGAAGATTACTGACTCGCAACTCGACTTGACAAAGTTGATTAATTGTGACTCGACTCAGCAAAACAGATGGAAAGACAAGAACACTTGGACTTGAGGGCAGATGACTTGAAACTTGGACCCAACTTGGACCATATAACTCAAGGAGACTTGGGGTTATATTCCCCCCTCTGGATATCACAATGTTAAATTCATCATTCCAGTGTTTATTAATTCTCTATACTGTCTGCATTTTCATTTGGCTGAATGCAAGGTCTCTTGAAATAGTTTGTTGGAGAGATGCATCACTCCTGCATATACATGGATGTAAAAACTGTGTGACGGCAACTGTGACAGAGTGGAGACTCTCTCTACAACTTAACACATTTTAATCACTAAAGGTAAAAAAAAACTGACAAAGGTAGGGACTCGAGTTACATGACTCACAACTCGACTCAGACTTGAGACACAAATTTAATGACTTGTGACTTAACACCAAAAATGATGGAAAGTCTTGGACTCGACTTGGACTTGAGGGCACATGACTTGAGACTTGACTCAGAACTGCAGTGTTTTGACACGAGACTTGACTTGAACTCACAGAGGAGTGACTTGTTCCCATCCCTGCAAGATCTAGTATATGTTTAAAGATCAGTTTAAAGTTTAGCCCCACTGCTTTTGCATGAGGGCTGTATGCATTCTCCGAGACAACCATTCTCATCCTTGCTGTTTAAATCACTCACGTGTAAACCACGTGTTTGTGAGAAATTTATATTGGACTCCTTTTTTGCTTTATAAATACCCCAATATTTATTACAATAAAATAATACTGTGCTGTCCTAGTACATTATACAAAATACTGCAGTGCTGGTGATTAAGTGTGCTGAGCATGCTGGGAATGTTGTAAACAGCCCCTTGTTTTTGTAGTTGTAAATACTTGTATTCCCTATTGTTGCATGTGTCCTTGCCTGCGTCATATGTGAGCCTTGTCCAATCCCTGCGTGTCTCTAGCTGTTGTATAAATTACCCACTGTGTATGTATCCTACAGTCCAGCGTCAGACCTCCTCTTGTAATGGGTGGTTTGGTGATTGTTGCCTGTGTTACTCTTTTTAAGGGTTAAATAAAAGAATGCTGTAAGCAAGTCTCTCTGTCGTTTGCTGCCCCGATGCCTTGGTCCGCCAAATGTTACAATGCAGTATTTCTTGTCATGTACTGTATCTGTTTTTCTGACCAGATCACAATTTAAGCTTGGGTCTTTCATTTGTCCAAATATCCATTATTATTACTTTTATTTCTCTTTTTTTTTTACTTAGTTTATTGTTGTTTTATGAGTTTGTAAATTTTTTCAAGGCAGCTTTTGTATTGTATTTCAGCAGCAGGCTATTTGCATGACAAATGGACAACGAAAGCATTTCATGTCCCACCCCAAAGTACTGAAGTACCAGCCACTTTAGTTACTTGAACTTTTGGTACTGGTACTCGACTGGAAGTCCATAGAAAAGAGAAAGTATGGTACTTTGTGCAGTGGAAAAATGCCCATAGTGAGACCCCCTCAGCTGACTGTTCCTAGTTCAGGTGTTAACAGCAGGTGTGGGATTTCTGACTCCAGGAAGTGGCTTATCTCCTGCTGATAATTCATTATTGTCACCTTGAATTTCCATCAGACAATCTCCTCTGCCTTAGTACAGTGAGCTTCAGCTTCAGTACATATGGCCTAGCATTACCCTGTGAGCTCTGTGATCTACCTCTGAGGTTCCTCGTTTTCACTGTGGCTTAGAAGGTCACTGTGCCTGGGGGACTCCTAAAGCTTTGACAGTGTGTTTTCCAGGAGTGAAAGCCCAGCTTCTGAAATTCAGAACCTTGAAGGCCTCCACAGGACCACAACAAAGATGTCATCACGTTTTTCTGCCCTCCTCTGCTCTGCTCTTTTCCTCTAGTGTGCTTTACTGTCTGGGAAGATCAGTGACTCAGCACCTTCCTGTTAAATCCAAGTCATTGTGGAAACTACTTTTACTGCCAGTGCTGAACATTGCATATGGATGTTGGAGTTTGGATGTGAATGGAGGTCAGTGTGTGGAGCTCAGAGCATAAGAGTTTGTGTTGTGGGTGTGACAGCCTATTGTTGCTAACCTAAGCAGAGCACTGAATTCAAAACTACTTCAGTAAAACAGCCAAAAGGATAAACAGGTAAAAGGATGTATTTGTAAGGCATTTAGGACACAAGTGCCTGCTTGGTAGTTACAGGATAATAATTATAACCCTAACCCTAAACCTAATCTAACCCTATTACCACTTCAGCAGTGCCTGGGATGGAGGAGCAGAGTCAAACGTCTCCGTAGCATCGCACACGGATGCGGTTGCCTGGAAGGATCATTCACTGCCTGCAGTGGAAAATCTTACGGAAAAACATATAATTTTTTTCCAGCACATATACGGGC